ATACTACATAACATATGAACCACGACAAGACTAAAGAGGAGTATGCTCATGCCATGCTCATGATAAAATAATTTATCTCACTTTTTATAAAGCATGCAATGCTAAGATGCAACAACAGTTATAAAACCATTTCCATTTTAAACCATATTTGTTACATGAATACAGGCTCTGTGAATCTCTAGGTGAGTGTTTACAAGTAGGCTCTAATGCACTACCACGGCCATTTTCACCAGTAAACTGGAAGGCTCGACACCTAACCGCAGGGTTCCACAGCCCCTGCCCAGATTCACAAAGTATTCATCTTTTCGCACACACATACATTTCCAAACATTTCTAAAAAATAGATACATTTCCAATGAAATGAATGTAATGCAATGTCCAATGCAACAAATAAGGAATATGGTTCAATTTACCTAAGTCTCATGCATTTCTACAACAATCATGGCCATCCTCCACCGATAGCCCAAAACTGATATTTTTAAACAGATATTTAAACAATTAAATTCTAAAAAATTTCCAATAAATACAATCTATTTCACATCTCATCAAATATGAACAACTACACTAGTTTTTATATCACAATCACATCCGGTAACCTCTCAAGGTCCATTTCTAACCGTGTCGGTTTTATTCCAACAGATACATTAAACAAAATAATACCATTAATGCCCAAAAAAATATCATTTTCTTTCTAAACTCATTCTCTAAGCATTATTCAATTATGACATTCTATTTTGATCGAAAATCTCAAAAGTTAAACGTAATTCCTTTGTTTTCTTTAAAAATGCTCTTTTGGTCACAAACCGGTAAAAATTTCAAAACCAATTGAATCGAAGTCTGTTTTTGTTCAAATTTAAAAAATAACTTTTTCATAACCTTACAAACATATTCCAGGTTTACACTTTCACAATTTGGGCAGCAACTTTTTATTTTTCTCAAAATTTCTCTTTTAAGCAAATAAATCACAAAATTTTCAAAAATTCTAATTAAATTATATACAACTCTAAGCTTCCTATAATCAAGTAAAAGTGCATAAAGAAGTGTAGGAAAAATCCCTATCTCAAGCTAGAAGAGGGAACAAGCAAAAATCTAAATTTTCGATTTTGTTGAATTTCGATCTCCAGTCAAAATGTTGTTCTCGCCAAGCTCTTCATTTTGGTCGCAAAAACCTGGGTCTAAAACTGGAAAATATGCTGGCATCCCTCTCTGGACAAACATGCTCTTTTCCAAGAAGTGCTTCATACTCAGTGTTGATAAGAGGGTCATTTCGTATTGGGACGTACCCCCAGTAAGGATCCAATTGAGGAATGTAAACAAAAAGAAACACTTCAAACAGAACCTGAATGAAAAGTGTGATGAGGTACATATGCAGCACAGATCCTGCGTAGAAATCTGTCGCTGAAAGAATGAAATTGAGCATCACAGCATCCCCCACCAACACATATATGCGGCTCCAAACCGAACATACCATCGGAACTCTCTGATGTAGATTCTAGTTTCTATTCCAAGCATAAGCAACAAGGAGCCCCAAACAAGAGCCACAATGATCAATGAAACCATCTCGAAGGGAGCAAGACCTGTCTGCCCTTCCAAATTAAACAATGAAATGCCTATAATCAGTCTAAACAAAGGCTCAGCAGTACAATAACCAGCCAAGAGACCCAACACATAAATGTAGTATTTTGATCCGAGTTGGTACCTCTGGACTTTAAGATCATTTCTAATTAGCCAAATTCGGTAGAAGCACAGGCCCAGAAGAACCAAATGAGATATACAAACCACAACAGAGTCATTGCCACATGGTGTATAAGCACCAAAAGCACTATCTGTCACTGTTGCCCAAATCCAGATCCTCATCTCCCACAGATGGCCTGGCCTCAACAGTTACATTAAATCTACTATAAGGTAATTCATCATTATCTGGAACCATGGTGTTATTAACTTCCTCGCTGCCCTCAACAACCTCACGCACTATATCACCGTTTTCAGGAATGGCTTTGGGGATCATATTACTGTTACTTGGATTCACAGCATCAAAGCTCTCAGAAGGACGAGGGGTTGGTGAACCCATAAATCTGAGGTCCGCGGGCAACAATTTTATTGACTGGAGGGAAGGAGACACCAGAGTTTTCTGCGACACATCGTCTAAGGGGTTGCGTGAATGAGCTTCACCAGACCCAACAGGATAAAGATTAGGGAGATCAAAAAGCTAACCTTTTTCCCCCCCAAAAAAAAAAATAAAAAATAAAAATAAATCAAACTTTAACAAGGACCCACGACTTATCTGCCAACCCTAATGGAGGGGACCATAATTTGCGAAACAGCCTGTAGTGTTGATGATTGATCAATCGCCAACGACAATATCAATGAGAAAAAGTGAAAATTTGAGGAAATGATGAACAATCGGCGAAGATCTTCAGATATTGTAAAGATATAAGTGAGTTGATAATGCAAAATCAAAGCTCAAACCCTCAAAATGTTCAGAGGTTTAGAGAGAGAGAGAGAGAGAGAGATGCGTCGTGTGTGTCTCATTTTCTCCACGGGAGAGAGAGAACCCGTATGTATTGATATATATATTTTTTTGGGAAAATGAGTAAGACCACTAAAAAAAAGAGCATTAATAACTCTAAAGTGGTGTGGGTTTCACATGATCAGATGTTTTGCTCTTGTATTTTTTTTTTGTTTTTTTTTAAAATTTCTACCTCATTAGTGGTCAATTAGTGCTCCCAAATTAGTGGGATGAATCATTATTATTTTTTTTCCTCCAAACAATGCTGTCCCTCTCCCCAAGTGCCTTCTGTGCGTTTATATAAATATGTTTTTCTCTCTTATGCTTGAACCCACTCAAGCACTCACTTCTCTCTCTTGTAAAGAAATATCCTCCACCACTCTGCTGACCATGCATGTTACCTTTATATTTGTATTCCACCGCACAAAAACAAAAACATCATCACCCTATCTTCCACCACAAAAACCATCATCAAAATATATTCCCTTCCTTTAAAAAAAATAGAAAATTGAACTGTTTTCACACAGAATTTACACAATAATTAAATTCAAAAATTTGTTCAATTAAACTATGCACTGACTATTTAAAAAAAAAAAAATTTGGATCATTACAACCACCACATTACTAATCTCCTCATTCAATCCCACTGTACTCATAATCTCATTCAACCTAATTTGCCAAACAAACATGGCCTTAGGATTTAGGATAGTGTATATGGTATATATATATATATATAAAGAAGGGTATTTTGATCATTTTGCTTGAACTTGTCATTTTGAATAAAGTATTTCAGCGCTAAGATCTTTAGCTAAACAAGATTAGAATTTAGATTTATGGACCAAATCCCCTAACATTAACATTTCATATTTGATTTCGCTTCCTATCTGTTTAATTTTAGTTACTTTCATTAATTATTTTAAATTGAGGATAACAACCCTAATAATAAAAATTGACTATGATTTTGCAAATTATATAGAGTTCTCAAAAGCCTTGCCATGGAAAATGCATTTTCTGTATTAGTGTCTTTATCTTTCTCAAACTAAAGCGTTTACATATTTAGTGCACACGAGAAATAATAGCTGTAAAAATGTTATTTTAGAAAATTTTAATTTTAGTCAAATGCGCATGAGTTCTCATAACAATATGATTGAACTAGCCTTGCGTGAAAAACATGTTTAAGCTAGGCAACAAAACAAAACACCATTAGCACCGCACAACATTAGCTAATGTTATTATGTCACTAGATTCGTTCATTTTTCTTTCTTAATCTAGGATTTAATTGCGTTAAGCAACAAGGTAGAGTACCGTTAGTGCTTTATAAAGTCAATTAAGATTATAAATGTTAAGCTTGTATTTTTTATAAAGAATCTTTTTATCCATGACCATTAACTTAAGATAAAATTGTTAAGTTTGAATTTTTTTTTCAATATTTTTTTATCCGTAATCATTTTTATGGATAAACCATTGGAGTTTTCTTAAGTGTGCAAGTGCACACCATGTGCCACTTACACAAAAAGTGTAAGTGTAAGGTGTAAGTATAAGTATAAGGTGTAAGTGTAAGGTGTAAGTGTAAGGTGTAAGGTGTAAGTGGGTTGCACATGGTGTGCAACCTCAAAAAAGGTGTAAGTGTAAGGTTTAATTTTTTACAAAAGGTGTAAGTGTAAGGTGTAAGTGTAAGGTATAAGGTGTAAGGTGTAAGTTGCACACCATAACCAAACCCTAAACCATTAACGCTTTATAAATGGGATGAAAATGAAAATCTTGCATAGAGGTCACTAATTTTGTTTAAATGAAAAATATATATTTCATTTTTGGTGAAAGCTTCGACTCTGTTGGTCTTAAAATTTTTAAAATTTTGAACCCAAAATATATTTGTTTGCCGTTTTGAAAAAAAATTGAACTGAAAATATGTTTGTTTTTAGAGTTCTTGTCTTGAAAAAATCTGAGGACATAATAGTTAAATAATTTATAAATTTGAATTCAAAATGCCAGTTGTGAAAATAAATTTAAAAGAGAGAATCACTATATAGCATCACTAGAAAGTTTATTCAATCATAATTAATAGAGAAATCACTGCTGAAAATTGGAGTTTTAGAGGCGTTTAAAAAACACCGCTATAGGTCTCAAAAACGCCGTTAAATCCTTTTGCGACGTTTAGTACCAAACGTCGAAGATGCGGCCGTCGCTATAACTCTATGGCGCTTTAGAAAAGTCGCTATATTACTATAGGCGGCGTTTTATAAAAACGTCGCTAAAAGTTCTTCTAACGGTAACATGACGTTACCATGCTATTTAGCGACATTTTTAAAACGCCTCCGTATCTCTTTTTCCAAAACTCCAACCATTGGTATGCTATTTAGCGACGTTTTTAGAAACACCGTGATAGCCCTTTCTTTTTTTTTTTTCTTTTTTTTTTTAATTTTTAAATTGTGCTAATTTTATGTTAGTGAACTAAAAAATACCTATAAAAAAACTGAAAAATAGCGATAAATTTTTCGTAGTCAGCCATATTCGATATAAGCACAGGCCCATAAGAACCAAATTGGAGATGGAAACAACCAAAGTGTCTGTTTGCCACTGGCTGACAATACCTAACCAGTGGCTCAAAACCCATCTTTAAGGTGTCTACAGGTCTGTCTATGGTTCTACCCACTTCCACTACAAAAACATTACAGACTGTATACTCTTCTTGAACTCATAAAGAGTTATAGTTCACAACTGAGATGAGTCAACTGCTCAGGATACATACTATTCCTGCAAAAACAGATCAAACCAATTTCAATTATAGAGATCATATGTAACATATCTAAAGCTGTTATAGAAAATAGATTTAACAAAACTCAACCCTTTTTGATTCAACACAGTTCTTCATCCCAACAAATCAAATTTAGTTGGTGAATGAAACAACTTGTGATTCTATTATATTTTAGGTAAATAATTGAAGCATCAAGATTTTTTTTTTTAATATTTCTCGTAAAAAAAAATCCATTAATATACAGCAGCCTCTGGGCCTTGAGTTGAGGACAAATCAATGGTGACCACAGTCCAATTTTCATGTGGGACGATTGAAATCCTGTATTGTGGTTTGGGTTCTTGACCAAACCTCATTGGAACAATGTTTTGCAGATCATCTTCACACAATGTTGGAAACTGAGGATTTCAAGTTGAGAAAAGCAGAATTAGATGATGAAAAACTCTTTCCAGATTTTTATTTTATTTAATTTTATTTTTGGGTATTTACAACTTTTTGTTGTTTTCCTTACTGAAGCACGAAAAATGAAAATGGAGAAAACAAAGACAACACCAAATTCTTCAGGAATGGGCCAACATTTGAATACCTGTGGAAGACCTTGGCCGAATTCATCAACCGGAGGTAATTGCATGCCGTTGTTTTGGCATAATGTGGTACTTGTATGGTCCCCATTGGAAAGATTAGTATGCACTGGTGGAAATTCCTGGGTTTGTTGTCCAAAGAAAGCAGAAGCAGAGGAATCTAATGGGTATGTTTGATGAGGAAAAGAGCCATTAGGCTGAAATACCTGGAATTTACAACCAATTTTAGAAAAAAAACATCACAATAGATAAAAGAAATTGATTTTACAACAAGTTTCTATACTCACATCTTTTGACAAGAGACTATCCATGTTAAATTCCAACCTTGGATTCACAGAAGCTAACTTCATTGACAAAAACTACAAAATACAACATGAATACACAATACCCATTAAGTCATAGAACTCAATTATTCAATCAAAATGAAACCCCATGGAATAGAACAAGTCCTAATTTACCTCGTTGCAGTGACTGCACATAGTTTATAATTTCATCAAGCATGAGTGCTTTTCCATTCACCTACAAGTACAATGGAAAGAAATTTTTTTAAAGAAACAATTGGAAGACCAATGATACCTTGGAAAGGTTCATTTTTTGCATACTTTTCTTTTAAACTGTCTACGAACGTGTGATAGGGGCGCAATCCACTAGGATCTACCTCTGTATTCATGTTCTCTGTTTGTTTTTGGACATCCTTCAAACTATTGCAACAGTGATGGAGCATTAGCATTTGCCTTCCAAACGTATATGTTAGAGAACTTATAGGAGAAAAAATAAAAAAGATTCACTCTTACATTTCAAGGATATCAGGTGTAGGAAGTTTGGAAATGAAATGGACCACAGCCCCATCCAAAAAAGATAGCTGCTTTGGAGCATCAACAAAAGCATACTCAATACCATCCTTGACAATTTTCAATATGTCTGATCTATGCTTGTCAAGATACCCTTATGAGTGATATATGAATCAATATGTCTCCAGGGAAAATCCTGCCAGCCCATTTGTCAAGATGTATGTCATAAAGAAGTCTGCTTGAAAGAAAAAAACAAAAAGCAATGGGATTAATAAGCCACTGCTTGGATCATCTTTATGAGTGATAAAATTATCAAAGAACAACATTATTTCATTGAAGTGTCAAAAATTATTGAACAGTTAAATCCAGCAAATAGTAGAGTTAATGCAAGGACATAATTGATTCTGTAAGTTTAAAGATAAAGAAAACAATTGCATCATGCTCCCTTAATCTTACAATGTTGCATAATACAACCTTAGATAGAAAACAACCCAAATCTAAGAATAGATAGAATAAAAATATGGAAATATACATCTTCACAGTTTCATATGCTTTCCACATTGCTCTCACCCTTCTCATATCACATTAGCCAAACCCTAAAACAGAATATTATACAAAACATGAAGAAAAAAATAAAAAAAAGGAATATACAGTTACATAATATATCCAGTGAATCAATAAGGATCAGTACACTTACTTGGGCTGAGACAACACTTGCAAGATGGCTAGGAAAATCCCTAGGATGAGTAATAGATTGTCCAATTTGATCAAGTAAAGACCCTGATAACAAGGTTAAGAAGAATAGATTTCCCAACAGAAAATAGAAGACCATGTTGCAAGCTTTTATCTCCTTTTTACTCCTCGATACATAACCTTCCAGTTTAGCCATTTCAAGCATGGCAAACAAAATGACATATATAAATCCACTAAGGATGGCACTTGGAAGATACCCTGTAATGACAGGTCCTAAGTAGGGTCTGTAGGACAGATATCATCTCAGTAAAAAAAATGATCAACATAAAGACGTGTACGAATCAATTGTACCAGACCGATAAGAATAGTGTCAGAATCTAAGCAGGAAAATAAATGTAAGCAAGTAATTAGCCACCACTTTATATGCATGAATAAGCTGTTTATTCTGTAGCATTGATTTGTGATAAATGTTATGACAGAAAAATACATTAAAGAATAGTACTCTTACATCAAATGTACAGCCATGGCTGGAGGAAACCATGCCTTTAATCTTTCATATTTTGCTATTCCTTGAACTACAGTCACTGGGATGGCAAAAAATAGTGTAAGAAGTGATGCTGCAACAAAAACTCCAATTTTATATAGTGGCAAATGCCTATATGGGATTGACAAATTTCTCCATAGTACATCCCTTGGTTCTGGAGCCATTTCAGTGATCCATATAAGTGGATTTGAGTGCTGTTGAGATTGGGCAGCTAGAGTAGCACCCCACCAGTTTCTGAATGTAACAAAAGCAACAGGCAACTCCTGCGAAAATGATAGCACACCATATCAATTTATGTCCAAACTTTCAACAAAAAGAAGTAGAATGGGTAGTCACTACAAAATTAGATAGGGTTGTGTCTAGAAAGATGATCAAAAGTAAAAACGAATTTTCATATTTATGTTGCTCAACAGTATCATCTCAACCAGTAATTTCACGTAGTAAATTTAAAAACAGGAAAAGAAAAAAATAAGCCATCTTAAACTTTCTTTCCAACAAAAGCTTAGTTCCGAAAAATATATGTATATACTTTCATGAATTATCATACAGTTTCTCAGATCCTTCATTTAAACTATCACCACCACCACATGCGAAAAACATCCAGCATCCTCTATTAGTGTCAGTTTGCACCAGCACTCTTCCACCATCCTCTATAACTTCTTACCTTGTGTGTTGCTGCTGAAAGTTGCTGGTGCTATTTCTTGGTCTTCAGGTCCATTCACAAGGTAAGAAGTTGGGATTTTTTTTTCTTTTTTTTTTTTAGTTTGTGTTCACGTGGCCAACAAAGGACTTTGGGTTTAATCTGGTGTAGCACAATCATGAAATCAATGGTTCGTATCTTTCTGTTACATTGGCTTATGTGTAACAGAAAAATTCGAGGCGAGGGTAGTCTTCAAGGTTTTCGAGCATTGCAATTTCGTCGGTACCGTCAAAATTTTCATATTCCAAATGGTTTAAAGGGATTCAACAGAATTTTCATAGTGAATGAACATAATTCTTTCCAACTTCACCATTCAAGATTTGGTGTATGAAAGATATGATGATATTGCATCATATATATCCCCTCTTGCTGTGTGACATCATGGAGGATCTCAGCAGGATGATCTTGAGCTATGAAATATGACTTAAACCAATAGGCTAAACATATTCTTTTTCCAATATACATTTATCATGGTATACGAGATGCTGGAAATAAAGAAAGAAGCTATACTGAATGATGAGAGATTTAACATAAATGAACACTGACTTAACAAACATCCGAAGTCTAATCTAAACCTCAACTATTTTAGTATAATCTTGTGCTACATTAAAAATAAAGCCAATGATAATACTAAAGTATCTCATCTTCTATAAGACAAAGATTTGACCTAAACTAACCAACAGGACAAGTTCTCACATGCAAACACTGCACAAAGGAACACAGAGAGATGGATTCACACTGAAGCAGACGGATCATATTCAAAGTGATGAAGTAGAACCATCTAGAGAAAAAAAATCCTTTCACTTCCAATGCTGAACATTACACAGTGACATGACTATCTCCTTATATTTTGGTGGAAGTCTGCTGGTAGCTTCTTGTAACCAACAACCATGAGAAGCTAAATTAACAATGTGAAGACACTATCATTCCAGCTTCCAGTTCAAGTACCCCCCACAAGGAAAACAAAAAACAAAATGGCTTCACATTATTAATTTAGTTTCTCATGGTTGCCGATTACAAGAAGCTACCAGCGGACTTCCACCAAAAAAAAGAAAAAAATAAAGTTAAGGAAAAACAAGTTAAGAAAAAACAAAAACACATACATATAATCTTCCAATTAATTTCAAATAAGATAAAAGAATGTAAAAGCTTTCTGATTAAAAGCTAATGAAAAAGAGGAATGTATTTTTAGAATATCAATGTACAATTAGCGAAATGGTCTCATTGATTGCGCTACCAGTCTACACACAGCTTTAAGGAATCATTGCCAGCGAAAATCTTACCTTTTCTTCAAGCATCTTTTTGCACTGTATGTGGCGTATCTTATGACAAAGTTCTTCAAGCCTTTCCCCATACCGTGTTATTTTTCCATCTTGTTGAAATGCATCAGAAAGTGAGTATTCTCTATTATGTTTCTTAGTCAAGGAATGGTGTGTCAAGTCCTCAATCTTGCTTGCAATGTGTTTTGCCTCTTTCTGCACGTAATCATGTCTGTAAGTACTAAGTAGTTTGTGACAAATGCCTAGAGGGAATGAAGACATAATGGATTCAGATTTTTTACATGGCTTTGTTGTTCATAAAAACTCTGTACTTTTTTCAAGGACAACATGAAAAACATCCAATGATCTAAATGTAACATGAACAACAAAGTCACCCCATACTTTACAATATACATAGGTATTTCTTTCTCAAAATATAATCAAAGTCACTCTTATCTTCATACCAATGCACCAACAATGAGTAATGTTACGAGAAATCATTCAAGTTGTAATGCAAAGAATTGGACCATTACCCAGTACATTACTGGCTGTACTTGTGATTTACTTTATTCATTATAGTAAGATGATTTCAAGGACAAGATAGAATGAACTAGGCCCTATATAACCAAAGGCAATCTTCTTAATGTTCGCAAAGCCTTAGATATAACTCCCAAAGACAACAAACGCTAGTAACATTTAAAATCATTCACAGTGGTGAAGCTGAACTCAAAGCATAAAATTATCAAAGGAGATGGCAAGCATTGGTTTCCAATAAAAAGATCAATGTACTGTTAAAAGGTCCCAGAAAATCTTGAGAGAGAATTGTCTGAGCCACGATAAAGCTGGGGAGTTCCGAAAAGAGGTCAATACTCTCTCACCCCAGGGAAAGCAAATTATGTAATACAGTACAAAATAATAATAATAATAATAATAATAATAATAAAATAACAATAATAATGTGGAAGCCAGAGTTGTAAGTATGTACTCATTATGTTAGTAACCAAAAACTGACAAGTGAAGTTCATATGCACAAAAAATAAAAAAATAAAAAAATCAATATATCTGAAAATCTGACAAGTGAAGTTCATATGCTATTCTGCAACTGAAAATAAGGAAATTTCTCAACTTCCATGATAAAATTGGACAAGCTTTAAGATCCTTAGTAGAGTATCCAAATAAGACAACAAAGCCTAAAACCCAAATGCCAAATAATCTTAATTTATTTGGGTTCTGCCTTAATATACAGAGAATGCTTATATACAAAGAATTCATCAGGTTATTAGTAGTTGTCTGCAACATATGTGTGTGTCAATATCAGTTTTCATGGTATTATCATTTGTGTTAATATTGAAAATGCTTCAGTTGATTGATGCTTTCAATTTTAGTGCATTATACAACCAAACAGAAAAATTAATTTAGTTGATTGTTATTTGTATGCTCTAGTATCTTGATTAACTCAGTATGATCTTTTTTTTTTTTTCTTTTTTGTTTTTGGA